TCAAGGAGGAGGCCAAACGAAATATCTATATATATATATATATATATATATATATATAGATACATACACACACACACATTCACACATTGTTTAACATATATATACATATACGTTAGAACCGCGCGCGTTTCTCGCGCTTAGGTTCTAGCAAGCTCTAGTTGTAGTCTAAGTTGCTCGGCCTCGTAGGGTATCTATTGTCACACGGATCGTGCACCTTAGGGAGCTCCACCTGGGTCTCCCCGTCCATACTGGCACACCCTCACAGGGAGATCCACCTGCGTCCCCACAGACGAGGTTCGCATTGTGGCACGCCCCATCACGCGAATCGCGCCCCGAAAGTAAATGCATGTGCGGCAGTAGAAGGGAGCTTCATAGCATCGCCCCGCTCACTTCGGCACACCTCTCACATGGATCATGGCAGGCAAAGAATTCCAGGACGGCGCCAGAGGCAAAGTTCACATCGCGCCCTCCAGCCTATTTCGGCGCAAATCTCGCACGGATCGTGGCCCACACGGATCTCCACCCACGGCCCAAGAGGCAGGGTTCGCACTGACCCCCCCCGACCATTGCGGCACACCCCATCACGCGGATCGTGCCAGCAGGAGCACCGCTTGAAGGCCCAGCCCATGTCGGCGCACCTGTCACGCGAAGCATGCCCCAGGGGGCTCCACCTGTGGCACCAGTGGGCAGCTTCGCATGGCGTCCCCGCGCCCATTTCGGAACGTGCACCGCACGGGGCGAGCCCAGAGGAGGCCCGCCTGCGACCTGTGGGCGTGTTCGCGCGACCCTGCACGCGGATCGTGCCCCGCAAAGAGTTCAGCGCACCCGTGCACGCGTGCCTGGCGGCAGCTATTTTTCCGCATTGCCCCGCGGCGCTGCATGAAGAGAGACCCGCCCCTGCACTGCACATGACTGCATAGGGATGGGTCCGTCGCCAAACCAACTGCTTGCTTATCTATGGCCTTCGGCTGGTGCCGCTACTGCGCCTGAGGTTTGGGCCAGACGATTCCTGGATGCATGTAATTCGGGGTCTCCAGGCATGCCCCTCGGGCGCCTCGCGGAGCAAGTTTTGAAGAGGCGCTTTCCTCATGCGATGCACCTTGCGCACAGGGCACTGCCAATCAAAGAAGCCTTGCGCGCTCGAAATCCCTCTGGAGAAGGGCAGCTTGGTTGGTCGAACAACGAAGATCGAAGAGGACCGAGGTTCCAGGCGAGAAGATCGAGGATAGATGGGGGGCGCCCTTCCTGACGGTAGTCTCAGTCAGCCGTCAACATCACTGATGCAACCGAAGGCGCAAACTTCTGAGCCCGCGTGCACCACTACGGCAATGGCGCCGTCTGCCAGCTCTTTGGGCCCCCGCCGGTCCCCGCGCCAACGAAACATAAAGAAAAAATAGCCTGGAAGAGGGTACTCCCCCTGCGAGCCAGTGGGATTCCCGGATTTCCATGCAACGCACACTGCGACAAGATTGGAACCGTTAGTCCCAATCGGCTCAAGACCGCGCTACGTCGAGACCAACTGGGCCAAAGACGGACGAAGAGAATTCTGGCTTTGATTCTCATCGACACCACGCAAACATGGTGAAAGGAACCGTCGAACGGTCCCTCGACCGAACAAGGCAACAAAAACGTCCCTAGGCCGTTCCTCGGTCAACGCGCCCCACGAGCCACCTGCTCAAAGGCACTTCGGCCCCGAGCACGTCTCGACGCTCGCCGTGCCGGCGGCTCTGGCGGAGAAACGGGCAGAACAATGAACGACAGGAAAAGAGGAGGACGACAAGGAGGAGGAGGAGGAGGAGGAGGAGGGCGTTTTATTTCGATCAGCGGCTCGAGGACGAATGATGCCACAGGGAATTCGCGACGCCTCGCCTGTAGCAAATTGTTTCCTTCGTTTCGCCCCCTTCCCCTCTCCCCTGGCCCCGTCCCCTGCCTCCTGCCTTCCCCCTGCCCCCCTGCCACCCGTCTCGCACGATGAGCCGGAAATCCAGCAATGCAGAGATGGAACAGTAGCAGTGTTCAGCATATTTGCACATTGGATATTGCATCTTTTCCGTAGCCGTGATGGCTTAATGGTTCATGCGAGTTGTTCCAGAGCCGGCTTCGCAGTCACTCGCTTTAGGCCGGTGCTCAAGCCGGGCACGTCGAGCTATTGACAAGAAACATACACAGTCCGGCGCACAACGTTGGGGTGCGTGACTGCGAGGGCGCCGGTAAAGAAACAACATCATCACGTTCGTTCACGTCTACATCACGTTCGTGCCGTAGTGTGATTCTGCTTCTTTTCACAGAGGAAAACGAGCGACCACGGAGGGGTTTGGTTCATAATCCTGTACCGCAGCTTGTTCGCTGACGACATCTACATCTTGCTAGTTATCGGCAGCTTATCCATAATTCACTTCCATATTCTACACGTTTCTCTCCTATTACATATTCACTACCGTTTTTGGAATACTGGAATCGTCAAAATATTCCAGCATTCTCACGTATAGTACATCCGATCCCGTACAAAGGCGCTTCCGGCAAAGGGTATGGGAGTCAAGGTGGATATCGGTCTCCTGGCGAATCGGCGAATTTCCAACAACGAGCCGACTGTTCGCTGTCTGCCTTCCTTGCTTCGCGCGCCCCGCTGGGGCAGCAAGGGAACCGACAATTCATCACCCAGGAGCTCGGCAGACAATTGCAACGACTTGGGGGGTTGAGTGCATATCTGCCTGCCGCCATCCTGCCCAGCATCGAGAGCACATGCAACCAGCACCGCATGGTCTTGAACGGGGTGGTTCTCAGCGCGTGGTGGCATCTGTCCTCCGAGTGTCCGTCTCGGCGATTCCTCCATGCCATGAGTACCTTGCAAGCCGAGTTGTTCAACTGGCTGGCTTCGCCAACGCCGATGCCAACCGATACTCTTGAAGTGTTCGGGGTGCTCACGGTTCTGGTCACGTCTCCGGCCGCCGCGGAGCGGAGCGGAGCTATCGCACCACGGGAGCGCTCGAACCGGCCTTCAGGGCGGCTCTCTCTAGACCTGGAGCTGCTAGATTACATCACGCAGTGGATTTGTGGTCTTTGCTTAACTTCCAGGTGGATTGCCTGCTCGGCCACACACGGGCTGGCAACGAGAGAACAGTGCCGTATATCAGCTCGGCATGCGGCCGGCTTACATTGGACGGGCCGGCCTCGTCAAGAAATCCGTGAGGTATTCTGGAGTGCTTGCGCGAGTCCGTGAACACGTGAGAGGGTTTTGCCAAACCCTCCAGGGAAGGAGACCTCCTGAACACCGTCGGTATGCAGCACTTCTTCGAACTGAAGGCCGAACGGGCTTTGGTTTCATATGTGTGCGGGTCACGACCACGCCACGGAGCTGGGCGTTTGAGTCCGCCCTGATCTCACTCATGAACCCACCGGCTAACAACGTGACACATGCATCACTGTCTACGAGCGGGCGCCCAAGACCAGCCCGGCAGCGAAGAAGGGAACCTACCAAATACCGGCGGCGACGACGAGCGAACAGTCAGACGGCGCACCGTTACGACGGTGAGTTCACGGAGTGTGTCTTCGCCAGCCGGGTGCGGACGTGCATGTCGCAGGAGGCGATCGTTTCTAGACGCAGTCTGTTGAAGGACCTCCTGAAGAAATCATTTTCGAAAGTGTATGATTTCTACATTCGCAAGATGGCCGGCGAATGTGGGATGTTCGGACCTCTGCACATCGTCGTCCCAGGGTTCTTCCCACTGTTCCTGAAGTTTGTCACAAAGCCTATTGGCGCCTACGCTTGGGAACTCTTCGAAGCAGCCCGGAGGTACAGGACAGACGCATTGTATTATGCTTGGAGCGGCACAGCGCTTCTTCCTTCGAGCTCGGAACGAGCCAGCTCCAGAGCCTTCTTGGGGAGACACCTGCAGTCGAGAGGACTGCCAATCCCCGGGCTGGCGTGCCTCAAGGCACCAACGCCAGCAGACGCAAGACGGCTTAGAGGGTGGACGAACGAAGCTCTCCGGGAGCTTGCACGTAGGTTACCTACGTTTGTCTCACTGGTTCGACAACGTATCCGCGTCGCCGTGGTCCCAGCGAGCACTGTTCGAAAAACCTTGACGAACGTGCAGGCCCGGGTGGCTGCGTTCCATGCAAATGAGCTGCACTCGCTGGACGAGCACATGCTGGGGACTTTCGCACGTGGAGATGACCTATTCCGGACTCGTCTGTGCGGGCGTTTGCGGACGCCGGGCCGACCAGGCGAGGACACGGAACAATGCACGCGATCATGTGTCAGATGGCTACAACAGCTCGGGCTTCCGCTCACGCACGCAGATCGGATCCCGTGGGAAGCACGGCGCCTTGTTGACGAACCAGACGAGTTGGACACTGCTTGGCTAACCGGTCAGCAACTTGGCGAGACGTGCGTTGACGGGGTTGTCGTGATACCAGAGGATAAAGACCAGAACAAGCTTTGGATTGCCTCCACGCGCGGGCTGGTCGCCAGATAGCTTGCTTCCTTTCGACACGCAGCAGATCGATGGGAGGTGCGGAACATCCCGGCCCAGAGCGTGCTTGACTGGTACCGACTCTTGCATGACAACTGTTTCCCGAAGACCCTCAGACACGGCCGCACCAAGTTCAACATGTGCCACTTGCCGTACATGTACCCAACTATGAAGGCCAAGTGTTGGGACCCGAGTCCTGTTGCACCCCCTGAGGGAAGACAGAGGTGTAAGAAGCTCGCGCACGCGTGCCACCGCAACATTATTTCATTCTGCCACGTGCCGGGGCGGCAACTGTACAGGAGAGCGGGTCGCTGCATCAGTTTTCTGACCAAAGTCGTGTGCCCTGGCTGGTCTGTGACAAATTTGGACAAGAGCAGTTGTGAGATACGCGAGCGGGCTGAGGTCTTGTTTCGGCACGCGGCCTATGCGCTTGGACCTCAAGTGCATGCGCCAGGTAAGAGAACGTGCATCTGTTGCTGAGGGACCTTGCGGAGCCCATCCATAGTGATCGCAGACGCAGCAAAGGCGTACGAAGGCATGCGCACGGCGGATATATACAAGAGCATTGATGTCCTCTTCGCTGCGGCCAGCGAGAAAATACATGCGACGACTATCACTGTGGACCACACGCAGCGCACCAGCGTTCGACTCGGTGGGAGCATCTCGCCGCCGCATCGAGACCGGACTGTGTTTCGCCTGCACAGTCTGCAGCGGTGCCTCGAGTGCTTCATGGGCATGCGCATGTTTCGACTCGGGGACCTGTTCGTCGTCCAGGAAAACGGCGCGCCTATCGGCGGACCGCTGAGCGGTTGCATCCTGGATCTTGTGCTGTCCCTCCGGGAATGCGTCATGGACAAAACCTGGGGGCTGAACTGGTCCAACAGGAGACAAGAGATTGCAGCTGCTCGCTACGTCGACGACTTGCTTCTCATGTCCGTGCTGTGGTGCCGTGGCTGCCTCTAGATGTTCATAGGGAAAACTTACGAGGGCGTCGCCGATTTCGAGGAAAACGACGACTTCTATATTGACGGCAATGTCACGGTACAGAAGTTCTTGGATTTCTATATACATCTTGGATGGGATAGCATTTCGTTTGTCGTGGCTCACAAAAACGAAGCGTACATCCTATCTGGCGAACCTGATCGTTTGGAAAAGCACTGCATACTTCCACCAGCGTCAACGCTTACGCGTTCAACTTTAGCTTCGTTACGATCTGAGCTGAAAGGAAAATTGCACCGGTGGGCCACGATTGGAATTCTGGAATTCAATGTAATGGTTTTGGTTGCGCTTGAAATGGTATATATGATACGGGTTGGATACAGTTGGCATAACATAAAACGGGTATGGCATTCTATCATTCCTCCATCTCCTACCTACGGCATTATTGTGGACACCCTACTGCTCGTAAGGCGAACGTGCTGCCACCTCCAGGTCCCCTTGTACGTCATCCGTCGCCACCATCAAGAGGCTCTGGCTCAAGCGGTGGAGAAGGCGCGGGTGTCAGCCGCACCTGCAAGTCCCGCTCACCACATGTCGAGGTATGGCGGCTACGGCGGGAAGCAGGGGCAGCCCAAGGGCGGCGGCAAGGGATACAGCGGACAGCAGCAGGGAGGCCCGGCTGCACAGCACTGGGCCCCGTACCCGACGGCGCCGTACTACCCCTACCCACCGGCAGCGCCGGCGGCGCCAGCCGTGAACCCGTTGCTACAGACGTCTCAGGATTTCAACAACACGCTCGAGGGCATGGCGGCCTTCTCGAAGATGATGCGTTTTGGGGACGCTCTTACAGGGGCGACCCACGGCCACGGCGGAAGTGCAGGGGCGCAGCCGCACCCCCAGCAGCACCAGCCACAGCACCAGCCTCCGCCAGGGTACCTGTCACCTCAGGCTCGGGAGCTCGCGGAGGCCTTGACGCAGGTCTTGCCCGCGGAGGTGCGCGCCGCCTCCGGGCCGCCCGGGCCGGCTCCGTCGGCCCCGCCCGGGGACTCGAGGTTGAAGCAGATCGTCTGGAGGTTGGGCGAGCTGACCGGGGCCGCAGCTCCCGGAGCAGCGTCGGGCCACGGCGCGCACGCGGGGCCTCTGGCGCCACAGGCACCGCCAGCGAGCTTCGAGGAGGCGCTTGGGGGCAGCGCCGCCTTCCAGCAGCTCTCCGGCCGGGTCGACACCCTGACGGGCGACGTCCGCGACACCCGCTCCCGGGTGACCAGCCTGGAGGGTATGGCCGCGAGGACGGACAACAACGTCGCAGAGATCAAGAAGATCCTCCTGGGCCAGCTGGGCCACGGCAGCGCCGGCGCCGCAGCGCCGGGAGCGGGCGCCGCGGCGCCTGGCGGGATGCCGGCCTACCTCCAGCCTGTGCTCAAAGCCACCATGGACGAGAGTGCTCACACGAACGCCCTGCCCCTGATCGGGATGTCAGCGGATAGGGCGCAGTGCACCGACCTCAAGCAGAGGCTTCCCCTTGACTTTGGCGTGTGGTGGCAGGAAGTAGCCAAGCTCAAGACGGAGAGCCAATGGAGGGCGAAGGGCAATGCCATCAGCGACAATCGCATGCAGGCGGACCTCTCGAAGGAGGACATCGGCCTCGCGTTGTTCCAGCACCTCAACGTGCTCGGCGCTTGGGCGGCCGAGCCGCTACAGAACCCGCCGCCGTGAGGCCAGGGTATGGCCAGAACGATGAGGTCGTTGGGCTCCTCGCTGAAGCGTGCTTGCATGGGGGCACTGCGAACCACCCGGTATGTGCTCAACGCCGTGGTTGGCCTGCCGCGCATCATCCAAGGGACCGGAATGGTGATGGCATTTTGCTGGTGTGCAGGCGTGGGCAATTTCTTACGCTATGTGTGGATGTCAATCGCAGGCTTCGTTGTCCAGCTGCTCGACAACATGGGCGCCGACATCTTCCATCTGTTCGCGGGCTCCTGGGCCGAGGGAGCCTACGCCACTGAGGACTCTTGGGCAAGTGAGCCTGCGCCGCCAAATCTGTCTTTCTCCTTCCTCCCTCCTCCCTCCTCCTGCCCTGCCCTTTGCCCCTTCGCCTCCCCTCCCCGTCCGGTCTTCCATGGCACCCCTGTGCTCGGTGGCCGGCTGGCCGGCTCCGCGGCGTGGCTGGAAGAGCTCGCGCAGGTATCAGACTTGTCGCCCGGACAGGAGCATATCTCGATTGCAGACACCCAGGCCAGCTATCACGAGGCGTCGGGGTCCGAATCTGCCGCGCAGGGTATTGTCGTAGCTTTGGGGGACGATATCCTCGCCAGCGCCAGTGCCATCACGGCCCGGTACGCGCATCATATAGCAACTGCAGGCTTCCGAGGGCGCGTGCCTCCCCACTTGTCACTACTGTCGTTTCTGTCCTTCTCCTCCTCTCCTCTGTCCTCCGCCTCCGCCGGGGGGCCGGATTTTGAGGGCGTTTTATTTCGATCAGCGGCTCGAGGACGAATGATGCCACAGGGAATTCGCGACGCCTCGCCTGTAGCAAATTGTTTCCTTCGTTTCGCCCCCTTCCCCTCTCCCCTGGCCCCGTCCCCTGCCTCCTGCCTTCCCCCTGCCCCCCTGCCACCCGTCTCGCACGATGAGCCGGAAATCCAGCAATGCAGAGATGGAACAGTAGCAGTGTTCAGCATATTTGCACATTGGATATTGCATCTTTTCCGTAGCCGTGATGGCTTAATGGTTCATGCGAGTTGTTCCAGAGCCGGCTTCGCAGTCACAAGCTTTAGGCCGGTGCTCAAGCCGGGCACGTCGAGCTATTGACAAGAAACATACACAGTCCGGCGCACAACGTTGGGGTGCGCGACTGCGAGGGCGCCGGTAAAGAAACAACATCATCACATTCGTTCACGTCTACATCACGTTCGTGCCGTAGTGTGATTCTGCTTCTCTTCACAGATGAGGAGGAGGAGGGGGGGGAGGAGGAGGAGGAGGAGGAGGAGGAGGAGGAGGAGGAGGAGGAGGAGGAGGAGGAGGAGGAGGAGGAGGAGGAAGAGGAGGAGGAGGAGCGAGGGGAAAGACGAAAAGCACGGCGAGCAGACGCCAACATGCAGGAGGAGAGGGGGGAGGCACAGGCAGCAGCAGGCAAACGCGCACGTTGGGGGCGGGCAGGGGGCGGGAGGGGGCAAAGGGCGTTGGCAGTAGTCGGGGGGTAGTCGTGAATCGTGGGTGGGGGGAGGTCGTCGGGGTCGTCGTGGGTCTGGGGGTTTGAGGGCCGACACAGCAGAGGTCGCCGGGCGTCAGGCGGGACGGGCGGGGTCGTCGGCGGGAGCGGGGGCGGGGGGGCGGGGGACGTCGGGGGCAGCAGGGCGGCCGCTCAGGCGGCGGCTGCCGCGCTCGACGCCGTCGCTGCGGCAAGCTGGGTCGCGGACGCCCCGTCTGGGGCCTGCAGTCGGCGGAGCACGGCCCGCGCACTCTGCCTGTGCAGGAGTAGCGAGAGTCGCTGTATGGGGCCTTTACAGAGACCTCTTGGGGCCTCGTTCGGGGCCCTTGTCCATGAAGGCCGCAGATGGCTCCAAGACCACCCGAGATAGTCCAAGATGGAATCCAAGATCGCACAGGATAGTCCAAGATGGCTCAATAACATGCTCCAAAATGCCATCTACAGGCCCCAAGACCGCACCAGTACGGGTCACGGAGCCTCCCCAGGACGCCCTCGAGAAGCCAAAATTCATCCAACACATACGGGGAAGCCATGTGTCATGCGTTCTGGTCTTGTCGCCTCCGATACGAGACGAACAGAAAGGGATCTTACGCGAGATGGCACAGAGACCTCACGCGGCGGCTTACGCGGGCCGCGAGCGCGGCACGCCACATTGGAAGCGAGGGCGCGTGCGCGTGGCCTTACGCGCGCGCGCTTCCGCGCCAATGTCGGCGCAGACGAACCCGTTTTTTTGCGTCGCTCATGTGGCTTCTGAGGCTTCAAGGTGGAACCAAGATAGCCCAAAGAGAGCCACAGGCGCCAGGACGGCTCCAAGAGCGCCCCCAAAGCGCACCAGGAGCGGCCCAAGAGGGCCGCGAACCGCCCAGGTGCGAGTTTCGGAGCCCTGGCCGGGGAAGCGAAATAAGCGCCGCCCCCTTTTGAATCGACTGCCTCCAAAATGGCCCCGCGAGGGCATCCAAGGCCGCCGCAAAGAGAGCCCCAAGAGCGCTCTCAGGGCTCCAAAAGGAAGTCAACATTGGCCCCAAGAGCGCTCTCAGGGCTCCAAAAGGAAGTCAAAAAGGTCCCAAGATGGCCCAGGTAAGCTGCCAAGAGGCTCCAATATCAAACGACCCACGAAGGCATTTGTTGCTGATTTTTGGGACTGCTCACACTGATGCCGATCTTCGGTTCGACGGCTGCCCTCCTCCTCCTCCCTCTCGATGTTCCACTGCGTGCTTCCACACTTCCCTGATCGATGCAACTCACCTGGGCATCATTTCTGGATGGGCAACTGGGGATGAGCGCAGCATCTAGCACTGGTGAAGAGAGGGGTTGCCAAAAGGCAAGGGTCGGCGATTGTATGACTTGCCACAGTGAGCCGCGAGGGCCTAGCAAAGTGGCTCAGCGAGAACCAACGAAAAATACTGAAGTCTCCGTGTCGGACATACGGTTCCTGTTGCCCCGACGCCCAGATGTCAGGGGAAGGTTTTTTTGGCGGCGAGCCTGGGGGGAAGTGAGAAGGGGAGGGCCTTTTCAGAAAGATCGGAAGTCCTCCGCCCTTCTGAAAAATTGTTGTTGTTCGACCGCAGCGCAAAACGGGCGGGGGAGAAGGAGCGCACTCAGCACGATGACATGCTCGGCGACACAGTCGTGAAGCAACTAGGCTGAAAGGCTGTGCAGACGAACATAATTGGAGCGTCAAACGGCCTTCTGAAAAGTTGCCTGGATGTTCCCCGAAGACACAGAAAACTCCTCAGGAGGCGCGAGGGCTCGTAAGAGGTCCCGCCGCCGAGTTCTGGCACGTCCA